AAAATTTTTACGTGAAAAGTGCTAAGAGGATAGATGCAATACTGACTAAAAAGTAATACGTTTAAATGTCAAATGACGATTACATTTATATAATTTTTTATATGCAAAAATTTGCAAGCTGACCCTTTGTAATATTTTTCAAAATTTGGGCCCTTATATGTAATTGTTTTCACTTTGGGTCCTTATTTGTAATTATTATAAATTCCCCTTATTATTATTATTATTATTATTATTATTATTATTATTTATTATTATTGTTATTATTATTATTATTTATTATTATTATTATTATTATTATTATTTCATATAAATCATTTATTAAGTTTATTTTTTTAATTATAGATCTTGGTGCAAATAGAATTATTCCAGAATATACGTAAGCGTTTAATTTAAATTTTTTGTTTGATTAATTAATGATAATATTAAAAAGCTTTTAGAACTAGTTGAGAAAGCAAAGAAACTAAATGGACTAATTGAAGAAGACATCACAAATTTCGCATATTTTTATAATCTCGATGTTACAAACAAATAATCTATTTAAATAGTCAAATTTATTAATAAAGCATTGATTTCTGTAAAAACATATATTTCTTATTGTAAATATGTTTATTTATCTAGAAAAATTTTATTTAACATTAATATCCAATCTCTCATTAACGACCGTCTCTCCGATAGAGAGCAAGATTTTTTCTACTTCTAGGTCACAATGAGTTTCCTTGCTGATGTATTGTGTGGCATGTTTGTAAACACCAAGCCATTCATTTCGATATTCTATTAAAATAGACTGCAAGAACCACATGATCATACTGGTGGTCCATGCTGTTTGATTAATTTTTAAGACACGATCTTCATTGCAGTGAGATATGTATAAATCGAGTAGTTTCCCTGGTGATTCATAACCAAACAATTTGGCTAATCCATTTGAAGGTGGAAAACTTCCATTTGGTGCTTGTAATGTGATGATAAAGTAAAGTGATGATAAATTAAAAGACCTTTCCTTAGAGTTTGCAAAAGATTCAGGAGTTGGTTGCGAAAGAGATTCAAGTGAGAAGAATTTTGCCCTGTAATGAATCTGACCTTCGATCGAAAGTTTCGCCCAACTAAAAACCACATGTATATTTTATTAATATCATCTTTATTTTATTTTTAAAAAAAGCTTTTCACTCACATATCGATGCTTTCTTTAATTAAATCTCCAGTAACCTCAAAATGACAAGTTCCAAGTGATTCATCTTTCGTATTATAATTCATTACATCTAAAAAGAACTTATCACCGATTTTATTAACCGGAAAGTAATGAACTTCATTCCAAGTCGGATTAAAATCATCATCAACGAAATTAGTCTGTGCAATAATTTCTTTATCCTCATCAAAAATTCGAACATAAAATTTCCCTGAGTAGTTAAAATGATATCAACATACTAATCAATCTTCAATCGTTAATAGAACAGCAATATATAAATCGCATAATCTATTACCTTTAACGGAAGGATCGATATTAAGGTCCTTAGCACTTACTAATTCTAATCTAATTACACCAATAAATGTGCGGGATGCGGCTAGACTTGGTGAATGCTCGGGTGATTTAAGTTTATTATTTTTAGTTTTCTTTATAATTGTTGTAATGACTTCTTCTTTAGGAGTATCTAGTTCATTACAAACTGAATCATCTAATTCAATAGAACCATCATCTTTTTGCTTTGAAATGATTTCTTCGCATTTTTCAGGAGTGGCTGGTTCTTCAATGATAACGATGGCTTCTGCTTTCTCATGGTCAGTAAGTTTAATTTTATCAAATGAAAGGGTATTTTCAAGTTGATCAGCAAGTTTGGCAGCTGTATCATAAAGGCCACCGAAAAAGGTTTTGCCTTTTTCAGTTTTTGGTATTTCATCTTTCTTAAGATCAATTACATCATGTTTCTTTTCCGAAATTACTTTGTCCGTTACTTTATCAACTACGTACTCATCGGCACATTTTATTAATTCCTCTTCGGCATTTTTATCGCCAATTTGTTTTGAAAGATATTCTCTGGCTTTATCATATGTTGTTTTCCACCACGACTCTGATTCGGGTGATTTAAATTTTATATTTTGTGTATCTTTCTTTACTGTAGTTACGACTTCTGTAACGGGAACATTTATTTCTTCACAAATTGTCTCACCGGTCTCAGAGGATCCGTCATCCTTCTTTTTTTCATGATCTTCAATACTTTGCATCTCAGTTGCAATAAAACTGTTCATTGAAATAAAATAAAAACAATTAGTATAATGCTTAAAAAAATCATGAATGAAATTAAAACAATTACCTAGTATATTTAGAACTCAGGCTATAAGAAATTGCTAAGCGAACAATTTGTTCACGAACATAAACTTCATTATTTGCATGATTAGGGTAATAATTACCATATTCAATTTCTTGAATAAGTTTTTTGGCCGCAAGTGTATGAATTTTTGATCCATGCAAAGAAATTGGTTTAATTGGCTCCAAATCAAGTAAATGGGATTTTGATTTTAATGTAATTGTTTCGCATGGTTTAACATCTTTTGCTAATATACAATAAACAATGAAACGAACACCAACGTAAAGTTCTGGAATTTTTAATGGAGCTTGCTGAAATTTGATATCACTATCCTGAGATTCTTCATTAGATTCATTAGTCCATGTAATTTTATAATCTGTGATAGGAGGATTTAATGAATTCCTAAGCATGATTATCGCTTTTCTATTCATTTCTTCTGAGTTAGACACATACTGTGCATATCCTTTACCAGCACGAACAATAGAATCAATGAAATGATGGCAATTAGAATTAGAATTAGAATTATTTATTCCGATTGAAAATATTCTTAAATCTTTTTTCATTTCTGGGTTTTTTATAAGATCAACAATTCGGTTGATATTCGATGTCTCAAAATCCGAGAACAGAATAATTGATGTCGGCTTGTCAGGAAGTGAATGATTAAATGCCCATTTTAGAGCTTCATAAAGATGAGTGCCACCATTTGCAGTTATTTTTTGAATCTTTTTGATAACCTCTTCAATATTTGTATTTGTGCATGGTTGACTTTTCGTAAAATAGCTGAAAAATTGCTTGTGCCCAATTGTTATCACGTTGAAGAAACAACTTTTTGGAAGTGAAATGAGCAAATACTGAAGTGTTTTGGTTACTTTTTCAATCGATGCACCTTTCATAGACCTTGAACTATTTTATACATTAAAATGATGATTATTTTTTTGTAACTGGTAATGATACGTAAACATTATGCCATTTTAGATAGTTACTTATCGACAATAAATATAAGTTCCATTTTAGTTGAATTATGCTTAGTTGATTTATCGTTATGCTTAAATGACGGAACCAAAGTAAGCATTAAACAATGAGTCTCGGTTGTGGGATTATATTCGATAAATGCTCTAAAATTAATTTTGAAAATTTGCAATTTTTTAATGGTAGGACCATTTTTTTAATGCAATCTCATAAAATACTTACCTAGGTTCATCAATATTTTGACTTTTAATGAGAAGTATAAAATCGGTTTCCAAGTAATAAAGATTTTCTTTGTTTGATTTAACTTTTGATGTAAATTGAGATATTCCTTGTTCTTTGTCTTTATAATCTATAGAAATATGGTCAGGGTGAGAAGGAGATTTGATGCGATTTATTGGTGAACTCATCGTACAAGTTATAGAAAACTCAATAGGGGAATAATCTGATGAATCTGAAATTTCGGTAGAAAGACGCATCCTTTTGTGATTAAAAAAATGAGTGCCATATTTTGGAGCAATAGTAGCCGGCAAAATGAATCGGACACTATTAGCTTCTACATCGTGCTGAAGCTCAATCACATATTTAATTTTGATTTTTACTTTTTGGCCGGGCCTAATGTTACCGATGGAACACTTGAATGTATCAGAATCTTGTTCTTCAAGTAAATAAGCTCCATAACCTTGCTTAAGATTTAATAATTTTAATATTGATGCAATGTTAATGACTTTGATAAAATGTTAATTATTAACATAATTCAACAAAAATTTTTGATATTTATTGTCGCAGCTGATGCTAAAATTTTGATATATATTTGAAAATAAGACCCTATTAAAAATCACTTATACTTTTTTATTACAACCGTAATCTAAATTCTAACCTATCACTAGGTAAAAAAACGAAAAAAAATTGCACCTTAAAAAATTTATAATTTCATATCAAAATAGGTCCAAATTCAATTTCAGCATTAGCAGTGACAATTAATGATACCTGACAGATAACGAATGACGAAACCTATAACAAAGTATGTTTCATAGTGTTAACAAATTAGTCCATGCTTAATTTCTTTGTTGAATCACTTTATACCGTTTTAATTTAATTTTTTTTTCAGATAGAGATGTCCGAAAAAGTCTGACGTTGGAAATTATAAAATTTTACCTGCTTCAGATTTAAAGATAAAAATTAGCATCATACATGTAAGTACTTGATTTTTAGTTATTAATTATAAATAATCGTACTAATGAAACTTTATACTTAACGAAAACAATCCAGATCTCGCTATATAGAAGCTTGTTGAAGGGAGTCAATTGTATTTTAACATTTATTGGTTGTCATGAGTTTCGTCAATATTCGTCAAGGTTTTGTCAACGAATATGTGACAAAACTTCTCACCATTACAAAAAATCCTTTCTTCAGGCATCATTAATGACAATTACGATTATAATGAATAAATACTTTTATAGCTTCTTTATATTCTTTCTTTGCCTGTTCAGCTTCTTTAACTATCCCTATAATTTTTCTTTTATCATCTATTGTGGCTTCAAACCCACAAACTGCCGCAGTGTCACTAAGAATAAACTTGTAAATGGCCTCTATATCTTTTTCTTCTAAGTTTTTGTACGTTTGAAGAATATTTACTGAGAAAAAGAAATGAGTTATTAAAGCTGATATTATACCAAAAGAGCTTTTAAGGAATAATATCATACCTTCAGCTATCATATCAACAACTACCAACATATATAGCATATATTCGAGATTAAGATTATAGGCAACAAATAAAATTTTGAAGGAATAGTATAATGAAAATTCTTACCATGCGCGTTGACCTCAACTTTTTGCAAAGGAACTGGTTTGTAATCTTTCCCTTCGGTAAAAATAAGCATTATGGTTCTTTCAAAAAAAAAGGCCTAGAAGAAAAATCGTTTATGAGTAAAATCGTACGTACAGTATCTATTTTCTTGTGTGACACAGAGTGTATCTAAGTTTAAGAAGTGCGTCAAAATAAGGACAGTGCCCACATGATCTTGAAGTTTAAATAAAAATAGGGTTAGGACAAGTTTAGTTTTATGCAGATAGGCAAACTTGCCTTCATGATATTTTTTATTAATGTGCATTACAGTATACTAAAATCACGTGGATGCTTTAGACGATGAAATGCAGAAATACGTATTCAGAAAATGGTTACACATTCTTTAAAATGAATTTTGTGAATCCTGCGAATCCCGCATATTATCATTGTGAAACAATCAAGTATGCAGGATTCATAGTTCTCATCCGGATTGAGAGCATATATGCACAGTTCAACACCCAATGATTACAGTAACCATAGCTGCCGCAACAAATTTGGACAGGCAGATTATCGATTTTGATTGGCTGTACTATGTAAAAAACGCGTGACGATCCTTGATAGTTTTTATATCTTCTAGCGATGGTTTCTCAACAGCTATCTGATTAATATTAATAAATTTTTTTTTTATTTTACTCCTACAAGCATGTAAATTGAAATAAAAAATTTTTATTAGATTTGACCCAGTAGTTATCGAGAAAAGGTCAACCAAAGTTTTAAAAAAGCGTTGAAAATCTTGAAAATCCGAGAAAAATGGCTACGATTATGATTTTTTAGTGTTTAAATGAAAATATCTCGATAACTACTGGGTCAAATTCAGTGAAGATTTTTTTATTTTAATTCTATATATTTGTAGAATTAAAATAAAAAATTTTTATCGAATTTGATTGAGTAGTTGGTGAGAAATAATTACTATAAGTTAAAAAAAAAAAAGTTCTGTTTTTCTTTTACAAGAGATATTAAACTTTGAACGAAGATTTCTCAACAACTACCTGATCAAATTCGATGAAATTTTTTTTATTTTAATTCTAATTATTTGAATAATTAAAATAAAAAAATTTTCATTGAGTTTGACTGTGTAGTTGTTGAGAAATAATTGATTATGTTTTAAAAAAAATTTGAACATATGCATTACAACTTTAATTATTAAACTTTAAATAAGTATTTCCTGATACAGTAATTACTTCATAAATTTGATAAAAAAAAATTTATTTTAATTCTACAAGACTGTAAAATTAAAATAAAAAAATTTCATCAAATTTGGTTTAATAGTTATTGAGAAACTCTTGCTTATAGTGTAAATATAAAATTGCAGTTTTTTTTTAATGAATATATAAACGTTTTTAATGTTTAAATGAAAATTTCTCAATAACTACTAAACCAAATTCGATGAATTTTTTTTATTTTAATTCTACAGATTTGTAGAATTTAAATAAAAAAATTTTCATCGAATCTAATGAAGTAATTATTGAGAAATATTTATTTAAAGTTTAACAATTTAGATTGTAACACATATGTTCAAATTTTTTTTAAAACACAATCAATTATTTCTCAACAACCACATGATCAAACTCAATGAAAATTCTTTCATTTTAATTCTAAGAATATTTAGAATTAAAATAAAAGAACTTTTATCGAATTTGATCAGGTAGTTGTTGAGAAATCTTTGTTCAAAGTTTAATATCTCTTGTAAAAGAAAAACAGTACTTTTTTTTTTAATTTATAGTAATTATTTCTCAACAACTACTCAATCAAATTCGATAAAAATTTTTTTATTTTAATTCTACAAATATATAGAATTAAAATAAAAAAAATTTCACTAAA